TCAGTCAGTCAGCAAGTGAGGAAAACTTGGCACCAAAATCCAATACTTCAGAAACTGTGTGTTCTGTGTATGTGTCTCCAAATGGCTGAGATGGAATTTCATTCATTCTTTTGTGTGTAGTGGGGGTGTTTATTTACATAAAAAATGTGGTCAAGAAATTGGCTTGGCATATTGTGTATTTGTTTGGGTTAAAAACTGTGCCTCATCAGCAATTATAACAAAGTAGCATTGGTGCCAGTTCAAAGGGCACATTGCACTTTATCTTTAAAGGATAATTAAACATAGGTCTGTGTCCAGATGACTTGAACACCATTAAAGCATGGATTCTGGGACGGCTGGAGGCCATGACAATCTGCAGAGGCTTCAGTCCCTTATATAAAATATTGCAATGTTTACAAAGAACCCAAGCATGTCCTCCTATATTTATTCATCTTCAGGTGACCCATAATACTCACATACTCCCTTAGTAGTACCCTGCTTAGGGGGAAATGACAGGATAAACAAGTCTATTTTTTTTTATTTCCATCTTCTATAGCAAGTTGGTTGGAGCTGGGGGATGCAGAATCTTCGTGCATAGAGATATGAGAGGTGGGTAGAACACTGCCACCCACCTTGCTGAAAAAGGATGCTTATGATCCAAACTGTGCCCTGGGTTTTTGTTTTATTTTCTCTACTTCTAGTTTTATCATCATTATTTTATTTAATGAGGATTTTATAAGATGTATATAACAAAATATGATAGTATATGTGTCATCTACTCTAGGATAAGCTGAAGTCCCTGGAGAGGTGTTAGCCACTGCAGAGATATGTGAAAGAAACATCCATATAGTTGTGTTAGCTGCCAAGCAGATAAACATACACTAACGCAGTGCCAATGTGTCCTTTCCTGTTTCCAGCAGAAACTTTTTGTCTTTGTGCAACCTGTACACGCCTGGAAGAGTCTTGCCTACCATGTAAACACTTTACATACGTACTCTAGGGACCTGTGCTAGCCACATCCAAAACTGGGTCTACTTTCTTACGGCATGACCACAGTCGAGCATGAACTGGAATGCATCCACCCTTAAGGTACCTTCCTGTATGAGAACACACAGTCCCAGAGAAACTCATGTCTCCTTTGTTCGAAGCCATTACTTAGGAAACCTTGTTCTTGTGCTTTTGCCTACTCTCTTCCTCTAGGCCAGTGGTTCTCAACATGTGAGGCTTGACTCCTTTGGAGGGCGAACCCTTTCACATGGGTAGCATATCAGATATTTACATTACGATCCATTAACAGTAGCAAAATTACAGTTATGAAGTAGCAATGAAAGTAATCTTATGGTTGGGGGTCACCACAACATGAGGAACCGTATTAAAATGTTGCAGCATTAGGAAGGTTGAGAACCGCTCCTCTGGCCTCTCGCCTTGCCTGTGCTTACTTCGGTTTTGCAATTACTAGGTTGCACCTGTTAATAGTTTTTTGGGGGGGGAAACGATTTCATGTTGGATTCATACATTATTCTTTTGATTTTTCCCCCCTCTAGTTTCTGCAATTTGTCAAATACATTTCTTTTTACTTGACTGGTAAGTTTCTGGACATTTTTACCTATATGGTCAGGGAAGGGGTATTTATGGATGTGTTCTCAACACATCTACATTGGATGGCTTATCTCATTTTCAAGGTTCTTAGCACAGTCATCTTCATATTAAGAACCCACTGAGATCATTCAATACATCACAGGGGCATCGTGGGTTCTGTCAACCATCCATTGCAGTTGGTGGGAGATGTGTAGAGGTTGTAACATTTAAAAAACAAGTGGTAAGAAAAAGATACCATGCCACAGAGTTCAAGCAGAGGGGTTTATTAGGGAAAGGGATCATAAAAGGGGAAAGAGGGGAGACGGGTCTCCAGGGACAGGAGCAGCAGGAGAGGTGGGGGGGGGAGGCAGGGCCCTTTTAAAAGGGAACATAGTGAATAAATAGGCACAGGTGGTGCTCTTAGTGGCTGCAGGTGAGACATCCTGTCAGAAGCCCAAGGGTAGGCCAGTATAAATGTCTAGATACTAACAAAGATGTCATGGGAACATGGGACAAAGTGGGATGACCTATGACAGATGCATGGTTGTGACTTGTAAATCAAATATCCAAATGCTGAGGTGGCTTCTATTGTTATGTAGGCATGGTAGTTTGAGTCCTGTTTGTATTGAACAAGTCATGATGCCTGTAACTAAAATCTTTGAATTATATTAGATCCAAATGTCTCATTCTAGGAATACTGGATTCCTCAATTTTATGTTTAGGTAGATCCCTTTAAAGGATTCAAAGATAACACCTGGTACCGAATATGAAATATTTGCCTTCTCCCAGTTCAGTGGCAATAACTGTCTCACGAAATGATCCGAAGAGATTATGGAGTTACATAGGAACCCACCAAACTTAGGGTTTCATCTATGCAAGACATGGGACATGGGAATAATAACACCATGTGAGCATCTTGCTGCCACAGTTGCTTCTTCCTCTACTCTGGGCATCTCTAACCTAAGCCTGTAGGCTTAGCCAGAAAGTTGTTTTCAATACACTTACCACTTGGCACCCTGAGAATGCTGTTCTTCATTCCAAAGAGACTAGTAAAGGTACTTTGGCGGTGACTCAAGAACATTCACCCTAGTGAGTGATGTCACTACCTGGCGCTGCCTCAGTTGACTCTGCTGCAGAGACCAGTACTTCGGCCTCAAGGAACAAACCGACTTTAGGAATAAATGCTAACGATGGTGACAGAATCACAATGGGACACTGGCAACACAGAGTTCATCCTGGGTATTTCACCCAAGTTTTATTTCAACAAGCAAGCTTGAGAAAGATTTAGTTAAATGATCTATCTCACCAAACAATAAATGGCCTCAAACCCCAACAATCCAGAATAGAATATAGTAGCTCTTTCCATATATAACTGAAGCCTCTCTTTGTGTAGTTCCAGTTACTTGTGGCCAAGACCCAGAAAACTTTATGTGAAAATTCAAGAAATAAACAACATACAAGTTTGCAATGCATACCATTGTGAGTACAGAGTGATGCATAACTTGTACTGTGCCACTCTGTGCCTTGTCACCATGGTCTCCCTGTGTGCTACCCATATGTTAGGGATTTAGCAGCCATCCTGGTTATTACATCAACTGTGCTGATAATGTATTGCTTGTGTTCTCCTAGACCCCACTGTTCTGAGAATCTGTTTGGCAGTTCTAATCTGCCAAAGTGAAGCTACAGAGTCTAAGTGCAAAGGGACATGGGCTCTCAGCTTGGGACAAAATAATACAGCTGTTGGTGAAACCCTGAAATAGCCTAAAGTCCATGCTACATTTGCTCTAGTGCCTCAAACTGGAAACATTGTAACAGGTAAGACAGGAAAAATTAAATTGTTATCTGTTTAAGAGAGAACAGGCTATGTGAGGTTTGACCCTCATTCCAGGGATATCCTTTAGGAGGTCTTAGAATGAAGTTTCGGCTGGTGGGTGCACAGGGCACTCAGCAGTGAGACCTAAACAAGCCTGAAGACAGGTGACCCCTGCCCATGTTCCCAATTACCACCTTTCATTTTAATTGTATTCATTTTCCTTAAGTGTATGAATGGAAGGACATTCATTTATCAAGATATAATAGTTTAAATCAACGGATAAAAACACAATTTTTCCATCATCAAAATCTAGAATTTATTTTTTTGGGGTGGGTGGTTTCGAGACAGGGTTTCTCTGTGTAGCTTTGGAGCCTATCCTGGCACTCACTCTGGAGACCAGGCTGGCCTCAAACTCACAGAGATCTGCCTGCCTCTGCCTCCTGAGTGCTGGGATTAAAGGCATGTGCCACCAACGCCCGGCTGAAATCTAGAATTTTTATCTTCGATCATTTTTTTTTTCTGTGTGCTTCTGTTCTATTTTCTTATTGCTGTGATGAAACACCATGGTGAGAAGCAAGTTGGGGAGGAAAGGGTTTATTTGGTTTACACTTCCACATCCCTGTTCATCACTGAAGGAAGACAGGACAGGAACTCAAACATTGCAGGAACCTGGAGGAAGCAGCTGATGCAGAGGCCATGGAGGAATCTGATTACTGGCTTGTGCTTACACTCCATGGCTTGCTCAGCCTACTTTCTTACAACACTCAGGGTGACTAGCCCAAGGATGGCACCACTCACGATGTCTGAACCCTCCCACAACAGTCACTAATTAAGAAAACTCTCTTCAGGCTTGCCTACTGACTGAACTTATGGGGGCAAATCCCATTTTCCCAGATGACTCTGGCTTGTGTCAAGTTGACATAAAACTGTACAACACTGGTTTCTTCTTCTCTGCCTGGCCTCTATCCATGCAACCATTTGTCCTTCCTGGCTCAAATGGACTACCGTACCAATATCACCACTACTTTTGTCTTGGCATCTATGTACCTCCCACTGCAGCTAGAGGATCTTACTAAAATCCATGTATTAGGGAGTAGTGGTCGATAGCAGCTATAAAACCATACTGCTGAGCATGGTAAGTGAGCTTCTCACCCCTCTTTCAATTCTATCTAAGTGTGTTAAGTGTCTAGATCTTGGGTGTCAAGGCATGCATCCAGGTAGAGAACCAGCATTATCCTGCCCCCTTGGTGGGCTACAGGCAGGATGACGCAAAGGTCAGTGTTCAGGCCACTCGGTTCTTGGTTGAGCATTCCAAATATGCCTCCCTGATCCTCATCTTTTTCTCATCCCTCTGAACTGAGTTGGGCACCTCATGCTCCATGGGAAAGAATAGAGCTCCATGAGAGCCCTGATGCACAGCATCCACCTGTGGCTGGCATGCTGGAGGTAGGTGGGTAAGCTCCCTTCACACACACTTTGTATCTCTAAAGCAAATTTCCATGCAGCTCCAAGTTAACCTATATGAAGGTATTTTTCACTTGTACAGGAACAAATTCACGTACGTCATCCTACTACTTTACCCAAGATTATGGCTGTTACACAAGAGAAATTAAAGGACAGGACACACAAGTTAACTGAGAAGATTTAATTCCCCTGAGATTTTTATCCCATAAAACATAAATTCCACTCACCAGACCAGGGGCTGTCAAAGCGTTCTATGTACACAAATCAGCTAGACAGCTCCTCAAAGTGGTCCCTAGCAGGAATGTGTTGGGGCTGAGGGATGTATATATCCCAGGACATGGAGGTCTATAGATCATACTTTAACAAGACACTAGACAAGATGAAATAAAATAAGGAAACGTTTACCAAAGCAGACAAACCAAGAAACAACCATCAGATTAATGAATCACTAAGGTTACCAATACAGGACAATAGTGTTTCTCTAGATCCTGGTTGATTCTGTTTTTCAGAACCTCCATGTGTCTTATTAATTTTAAAGCCTCATTAAGTTTATAGGTTTGGCTTCAAAAATAAAGTGCTATGGTTTTAATAAACAAACATGGCTACCATACCATTTGTGGTAAACCACACCATCTCTGAGTGCAGAGTCTTTGGAGAAACACTTCTGAAAACTTCCTTCATTACGTCATGAGGATGATACATTGATGGTCTTTCTGTACCCAGTCTCCATGACATTTAGATGCTGCATGAGGGCATGGCCATTCATGCCATGCTTTGGTCTCTTAAGAGTTCTTGGCTTCTGTGCTAAATTCACAGTGGAAACAACTTTAAAAAGAACTTTTTCCTTTTCTTTTGTAGTGGAAGAGGAAAAGGGATGACATTCAAGCTTAAAAAGTACTTTCAACTCTCATAAATATTTGAGTTTATCCCACCTACAACTTTTAAAACTGTGGAAACACCTTTTCTGATTTATAAATAGTAAACATTAGAGTTATGAAATACTAGTGCATTAAAATACCAGTTATGATTATATGTTATATTAGGGTGAAAATGGGCATACTATTGGAATAATCAAGAGGATTAAAAGGAATGCGAATTTGGAATGTTTGTGAGAGGGCAGGGCCCTAGACAGTGCTCCTAAACAATCAATGTAACCCCCGTGGTCAACAGGCTGGCCCATGTGAGTCTGTGAAGTCCTATCCTGGACCTCTCCTGGGTGCTGGTAGAGTGGTGGCTTAGAGTCACAGGGAAGGACATATCCACACTCTCATTAGTCAACCTGGCTCTTCCCAGGCACCAGAGTAAAATGAAATGAAGCAAATGAGTGGCTTTCAAAAGCCCAGTAGAGCCATCTCTCCCGGGCCTGGGATGGCCTTGACCCTTTCTCTGTATAGAACATCTGTTTCAACAGCACTCTGTGTTTTTTCTTAATGGCTAGCATGTTAACACCAAGATGACAGAATTCCCCAGAGCCCCAGCATCTGGGATCACAGATCTTCCCAAAGTCTAGTGATTTAGCCCCAAAGAGTAGAGAAGCCATCAGGAAAGCTGCCTCTTTCTAATGTAGACTATTCCTGAGTGGTGAGAAAGGTGGGCTACCACAGCTGGCGGCAAGATGTAAGCTTAGGTGCTTGTGCAGTCAGCTACTAAAACAGTGCTGTCTCTGGCTTTTACTTCAATTGAAACTAGTACAGCTCACAGTGCTCCTCCCCCTCCATGAGAAATGGCCACTGGAGCTTAAAACCCCAGATTTGGTCTTGCAGGGCCTGTGCATCCACATGTCTGGGGGTGAGCTCAGCATCCGATTTTTTTTTTTTACTGGTGGAGAAAGTACAGGTTGGTTTAAATAAAGCAGCTCCTCCAAGCTCCTGGGTTTAGTGGCAAACCTGCACTTCAGAGAGGTGACGAGCATTCGATTAACACAGCACCTATTTTCATTGGGACATTTCATGGGATCACCATTTTCACATCTTTGTAGCATGCTACCTTTCCCCAGTAGCAAATACTAACTTCACTGGCCCAGGTGGGAGAGAAGCCATTCAGCTGCAGATATGGATGCCTGGCAGAGCTGTGACCCTTGGCAGAGCTGTGCTCAATCAAAATTTTCCTATCTGCAGCTGACTTCTGGTGGTCCCGCTGGCATCCCTGTGCAGCTGAGGACTGGCCACAGCCACCTGGAAATGACTGCACTTAGATGACCCACCCTCTCTGAAACGCCCTTTTGATCAGTCTTTGTCCCCGATTTGCCCAGTTCTAATTCTGCCTCTCCAATTGGTCCCAATCCATCCTACTCCCTTTTTAGGACCTTACTCCCATCCCCACTGGAATGTGGTTTGTTTAGTGACATGATTAAAATAGCCACCAGGGCTAAAGCAGCACCCAGGCTTGGGGGGCCACAGGGACTGATCTCCTGGGCCACTCCTGAAAGGAGAGGGGCAATGATACGGCCCACTGCTGTCACAGACTGGCCCACACCTATGACAGTGCCACTGGCCTGGGCCCCGCCTGCACTCAGCTGGAGGTCAGTGACACAGGTTCTCCCGATGCTGGTGGAGAAGGACAGAAGTGTAGAGGAAAAGACCACCACGTGCATGGTGCTGGCCACGGAGTAGAGCAGCAGCAGCAGGCAGGTGAGCGCACTGGAGTGCAGCAGGACCATGTACGAGTTGTGCTTGTACAGCCGTAGAATGGGCCCCACAGCGAAGCCAGCCAGGGTACCCAGGGCACTGGTGTAGCTGATGAGGTACCCTGTGGTCTTGGGCCGCACCCCAAAGCGCTCCTCCAGGGCCAAGACGAAATTACTATAGTACAGCATGACGGCCACCCCCATCAACAAGCGCACCAGAAAGATGTCCCACAGTGTAGAAAATATGAGGCTCTTCATGTCCTTCAAGGCCGACACGACTTCAACCCAGGGCCTCTGCACTTTCTTCTCACTCCACCTGACCTTAGGGGTGGTGGCTGCTCCCTGCAGGGTACCTTCAGATTTTCTGGGTGCTGTAGCATGCTTCTGATCCAAGCTCCAACCATTCTCTGCACTGTGGAGGTTTGTTTCTCTCCAAGGTAACAGCCAAACGAGACCTAATAACACACAGCAAGAGACCTGTTACACAGCCAACGCACGGGAATTCCTACAGTGGCTCCTTAGGGGGATAAACGAGTACTTGTATGAGATCGCTCACCTGCAGTTTATACTACATTTATTCACTTGGTTATGGATTCCAGCTTCCCCACCATTCCCACAGTCCTGCTGTGGCATCAGGACCTTCACAATGGACTCTTGAGCTCTATAAAAGCTACTGAAACTACACTCAAAACAGTTACTGTCTTCTCAGCTCAGGTGCTGCCATCTCCTGTGCCATCACGCCGTAACTATGCTCTTACACTCATTAAAGTGTACGTGTAAATGCTTTTCTCAGCAAACATCCTAATTATCTGTCTACCTGTCCACTCATCTATCCAACTGTATGAGCACACACAGCTCAGAGTGCTTTTCCAATGGGCTAATGACACCAGAAATGACAAATAAACAAGGCAAAGCCCTGTGGAAACCCTGTCCTCATAAATCCTAAGCCTAAATGGAGATCAGACAAGTCAACAAGCTTACAATGTTAAGGGCCATGCTGAGAGAGGGGCAGGCTGCTAGCACAGCCATGATGGGCCTTGGCCAGGGCCAGGAGAGACATCTGGAAAGCAGTGGCTATTAAAAAACATCAGCTGGCTTCTCCACCACCTGGGACCACCAGGTGTTTTTAAGGGTCATACTGCAAAAATGCAGAGTGCCATGAACAGGGACCATGACACCCAGCCTTACACAACAGACAGGATCGCCATTCAGACAAGCCAGCCACTGACCCCTTGACTGGTGTGCTTCTGCCTTGGGTCTTTTAGGACCTCTTAGCAATCCATGTTCAAAAAATTTCTTCAAGTTTGAGATTACATTTTCTATTCTAAGACATTCTTCCAAGTATATCCTTTAATAGTCTTTCTGCACTCCAAGTTCAATCTGGCCCAATGGCTACTTTCAACCACCTCATAAGCACATGACTTTGTCTTAACACTGTGTAAAGATTTCAGCCATGAACACTTTTATGACAAAAAAAAAAAAAAGAGGAACCACAATTAATCATAGACCCGGGTGTTTCTCAGTCTATTCTTATCTTTAAGAGGGCCATTTTATCAAAGAATCCTGATAAAAAACGTAAAGGAACTGTTGTTGATAGTCTCATCACTAAGAGTACAGTTAAAATAATAAAATAAAGAATCCTGATAAAAACATAAAGGAACTATTGCTGATAGTCTCATCGATAAGAGTACAGTTAAAATAATAAAATAAAGGGTGAGGATGTAGTGGAGTTAATAGAGTGATTGCCTGGTGAGCACATGAAGTGGAGACAGTGACGCACCTGAAATCCCAGCATCCAGGGCACTGCCAGGAGGGTGAAAGTCATCTTTAGCTACATAACAAGTTGGAGGTTAACCTGGGTTACAAGAGACCCTGTCTCAAATCATAATGACGATGATGATGCTTGGGTAAAACTGATCCTGTGCAAAATCTCCCTGGTTCCTGTAGTAAGGCCATGAGTTTTGCTAGCGCACATTAGACTGGGTGAGAAAACAGAAGAGTCGTTCTAATGGTTCCTATTAATAAACAGCAAGGCAGGAAATGAGCATGAGTCTGTTAGACACCATGGCCTGATTTCTTAGCTGGAAAAACACAAGTTGGAGCTGAAGACATGATGGTAGCACTGGGATGAGAATACCAGAGGCTCCATGCTGGCTACCTGTGTGAAGGACACTGGGACTCTATACCTAGCCAGGTCGTTTTCCCATTTCTTTGGGATGCCCTGCATTGCCCCAGCATGCCTAGTCCCAGATGTTTAAAGTGGGGACAATAGATCTTTAGTACTTCAGTCACTGTGGCTGGAACACATGCAACTGCACCTTCCTGATGGACCCACACCTGTCCACATGTTCAGACTGAGACAAAATACCAAACAGCACTATCACTGGGATCCAGGGATACAGAATGTGGTTCTCCAGACAGACCAGCCACTACTTTCATCAGATCAGTTGTGTCCAGCTGCAAGAATTCATCATACACAAATGTGCACTCATGCATGCAGGTATGCCAATAACAATCAAAACCAAGCAGCAGCTGTCAATTTGAGAGTGAGTGGAGGGGACATGGGAGGGCTGAGAGGAAGGGGGGTACGGAAGAGTATGGAGGGAGGAAAAGGAAGGGGAAAGTGATACAATTATATTTTAATAGAATTTATTTTAAAATATTTTTTTAAAAAAAGAATCCATCATCTGATTTGTAGACATTCCCTCATAGAAGGAGGCGGTGGGGGTTGGTTTGGATTCTTGCTTGAGATTCCAAGATTCCAGGGACCCTCCCAAATCATTTGTGTGCAATTCTATCTTAATTGCACATGGCACCATGGGTGTCAAAGGAGGTACTAGGCCATGTAGGCTGAGGGAAGCTGTGAAGAGAGTCTCCATCTATGTAGCTATTTAAAGGGAGCATCACCCATGTTGGGTGAAGACATTCCAGTTGGGCTGCTTGGAATCCTCACCCATGCTCTGTAGTAAGGAAGCCCAATGACCCATTGACTTCCTGGGTTGATCTTTGGTGCAACTGCATTTTGCTTTGTTGCTGGAACCTTTTAAGGAGGGATAGACATGCTTTAGTCTCCCCTGGAAGAAGTCTCACTACAAAAAAACCTTCACAGTTTTTTTTTTTTTTTTTTGCCTCCATGCTTGTAAGAAATATTAAATATTCTTTTCTATCACATACTATAAAACTTAGGTTTATGACCAGGAATTCAAATCTTTTATTACCCCCTCTTTGTAAGACCTTTATGCAAATGTTTTAGTCTCCCCCTATTGAGTAAAAGCTTTGCTTACACCAAGTTGCTACTACGTTCTGAAATTGTTTGGTGCTTTCCCCCTTCATTTCCTTTGCACTGATGCTTTTAAAGGAATCAATGGCAACAGACTGTGAAATGACTTTCACAAGGTTCACAGCAATCGTCAGGCCTCTTGAGGGTGAGGATGCGGGTTCGGATCCTGAGAGAATTTATAAAGTGGTTCTGTCACATCTGAACTCAAACTCATGAACATTATTCCCTGAATCTCAATGAAACCAGCATGGAATTCCCTACTCATTATTATGGCCTAAGGTGAAGGTTTAAACCCTTGCAGTAGAGAGGCATATGATTAAATAGAAAGTCTGTGGGGCTTCTCTCATCTATGAAACTGTTTATTCACGACCTGCCCAAGCCCTGGTCTCCTGGCAAAGAGGAAGAAGGTCTTTAAGCACCTAGCTCACTCCACGGTGCAGGAGGTCTTTTTGATTCATTGAGTGCTGAGGAATCTGTGCAGGGACAGGGACAGGGACAGCTGACAGACAGATCACCTAGCAGAACGCCTGCCCTTGTCAGTATGTTGTAGAACAGAAGCATGAAACAGAAATAGTAACAGAATTTTGAAAGTGCTACGAAAAACCCTTAGCTAGTTTTGTTCAGAATGACCAGAAAAAGACTTCAAATGAAGCAAATGTCTGAGAAGTGAAGGACCAGAAGAGGGCTGGAAAGACACACGGAAGAAATGTGGCTGGCAGAGAAAGTCAGTGCAAAGCCTTCCTGTGGGAGCTGGCACATGTGAGGCCGGCCAGGAAGGCTGTGTGGTAGTGTGGGTGGGAGAGAGAACATGGTGTTGCCTGTCACTGTGTAGGATGAACAAAGCATGTCATGACCCTGGGGTCTATGGTAGGCAGATGCAAAGTTGCTCTTTTTTTTTTTTTTTTTTTTTTTTTTAATTTAACTACCATATCTTATTGAAAAGTTTAACAGCTCTACTAAAAATAGACATTTTCATATAAATTATAATAACTAATATATATGTAGTAAAAATAATGGAATTGGTCCCTATCTTATGCCACACACAAAAGTGAACTCCAAATGGATTAAGGACAGCCTTGACGAAAAGGGAGTCAGGCAGCTTCTGAGAACTGGGCTTGGCATTGGTATTTCTGGGTATGCTACCAGGAGGACAGGCAATAAAAGCATAGAGAGGCAGTGGGCCTACAGCAAAGCAAAGCAAAGCCTTCCGCACAGCAGGAGGACCAGTCTCTCAAGTCAAAGGGCAATGCAAAGAATAGGTGTTATTTGCAGATCTTGTACCTGATTAAAAAAAAAAAAAAGTTAATACTAAGTCAGACAAAACCCCAGCATGGGGCAGGGAGGTGGCCACAAAGTCCCAGTGCAGGTGAGCAAGCTACTGGTAACTGCTGTGGCCAAAAGAGAGAGAGTTTGCTCTATGGGTGTGGCCGCTGGTAGGTCTATCACCCTCCAGTGAACTGACACACTTAAGAAAATATGGGCGGAACTAAAGGGATTTTTTTAAAAAAATGAAGACACAAGCTGGTTGGATATGGAATGGGGGAGTGGATGTTAAGGGAAATGAATTTCCTTAAAATATAATGTATATGGGATTTTTAAACAATTAAAATATAAAACTAATTCATCTGGAGAATACGGGCTTCCCAGATAGGAGACTGGGAAAATGACCAAAATTTAACATTTTCAACTGTTGCCTAGAACGTACTTATGTTTCACATTTGTATCCAAAGTATTTCACATGTGTAATTATACTATAGCAATTAGATTTTGTTTTGTTTTGTTTTTCAAGACAGGGTTTCTGTGTGTAGCTTTGGAGCCTATCCTGGCACTCGCTCTGTAGACGAGGCTGGCCTCGAACTCACAGAGATCCGCCTGCCTCTGCCTCCTGAGTGCTAGGATTAAAGGCATGGGCCACCAACGCCAGGCTAGCAATTAGATTTTTGTGAACTGTTTTTTTTTTTTTTAACTTAATATCCAAGCTATAGAAGGTATTTCTTCAACTCAATAGCAGTAAGGCAAAACAAAATAAAACAAGATTTAGCAAAAGACTAAAAGCTTCTCTAATAAATGGTAAGCAAAATAGCATCCAACATCACCAATAAACAGAAGTTCAAGTCAAAGCCATAGTAAGATGCTCCCTCCTCCTCTGAGGGGATTATTAAATGACAACAACTATAAAAAGATGTGAGTGAAGACGCTGAAGAGAGGGAAGCCTGCACCACGCTGGTGGGGACATAAACTTGTCCAGTCACTGTGAGAGCAGCAGAGAGGACCTTCAAGTTAACTTTCATTCCTGAACAATGACTCAGCCTATCCTTTATTATTATTATTATCATTATCACTATTATATTAACGTGTGTGAGTGCATGTGTCTGTGTGAGTTATACGTGCACAATGAAGCCCACGGCAGCCAGAAGAGGACGCCAGATTCATTGCATCTGAAGTTACACATAGCTGTGTGCCACTGATACAGCTGATGAGAAACCTACTCTCACCCTCTGTAATGGCAGCAAGAGCTTTTAAGCCCTGAGGCATTCCTCTAGCCATAAGTTGGCCCATTCTGTATTAACAAGAAAATCCTCACAAGGAGACAAATGTGGGTAGACTGTACGTGTTCAATAGTTAACTCACCAGCATTGAGAAGGAAGACAGAGGAGCAGATGAAAGCCGTCATGTAGAACCCACCATCCAGTTCCGTCAGATACCCACCAACCATGGGGCCCAAGATGAAGCCTACACCCGAGGCTGTGTTGAACTGCCCCAACACCAGTGGCCGCTCCTTCTCTGTGACCAGGTCAGAAAGCAGGGCCCTGGAGATGGAGAGGGTGTGTTTAAAAACACCTGCAAGGGAGAAGAAATGTGTTCTGTAACTGTCTGCACTCTGGAGGAGCAGACCCTTCTGGGCTACTCTTCTTCCCTGAACCAAAAGGAGTTCTTGCTACCATTTTCTCTGGGCCACTAAGGCATGAAAGATTCACCCCATCATAAATGGAATCCAGAGCCAGCACCATAACAATGGTTGGTCACCTCATCTTTAGCACCGGGTGTCCTAGACTTCAGCTTGGCCCTATCTCCTCATGACACCCCAACATTCCTTGTCATCCAGTTGAAATTTCTGGTGACTGTTAGGTCTCAGACAGTCCAAATATCCAGAAATGAGTTCAACATGAGCTATAGGAAGATTTTTGACAGTTAAATAAAAGCCCGATTTCCTCAGAAACTTGTGACTCCAAAACCAGTTCCCATCTGCCAAGGGAGTCATCTCCTTTACCTCTGGCTGAAGGGACAAATACCTAACCTGTTGTTCATATTCAAAGCACATGCTGGCCCCCAGGTTCCCTCAGTATCATAAACACCTGCTATGTACACTTCAAAGTCCACGCCATCATCCTACTCACTTCCCTCCTTTTCTTTCTAATGGCAAGGTTTTTCTCACTGCCCTGCTCTTCTCACTGTATTCGCCCTCTTTTTCTATCTCTTGCTGTCCATTATTCTCTCTTCATTTCTCTTATTATGTTCTATTCGCTGGCTCTTGATATCTCACTATCTCCACTAATCTCTCCCCTTCTCCTGGCCCTGGCTGTGTCCAGTCTCCTGGCCATGTTCAGTCTACTTTTTTCTCTCTCTCTTCTCTGGATATTTTCTCTCTTTTACCTAGAATGAAAACCTTAACCATGCAATGGGGTGGCCATGATGGCAGTTTCTTTACAGTGTCCCCTAGCATCCAGTGGCTTCCTCATAGTTACCTGGTTACCATGCTTTCTCTACTCACTCACTGTGAACTATTACTGAACACCTACCCTATGCCACCATGGATCTTAACCTGTGGATAAAGCAAGGAGCTAAGCAAACAAAACAAAATAGGAACAACAACAAAAACAAACACAAGCAGTAAATCCATGCTCATGGAACATGGATTTTTCTTCAGGTAAGATATAGAGAATATATTAGGAGGTGATGAGGGGTATGGGCAGGAATAGCAGAGAAGACTCATGTGGGGAGGAGGCATTTTCATCTAACCAACACCAACTGCCACACCCTAGTAAGACACTAGTGAATATGTTGCCAGCTTCATCTAACCAATGCCAACTGCCACCTACTAGTCTGAGACTTGTGAATTTGTCTGCAAACTACCTGATGGCTTCAGCATGGCTGTATGCTCCACAGGATTATCTAACATACATCTGAGGAGTACTTATGAATATATTGACAAGCCCTGGGAATGGGTTGCCAGCCACTTTGGTTGACAAGTAATAGGAACTAATATAAGCTAGTTCCCTGCAGATCACTGCCCATCATTCCAAGCTGTGACTTGACACAGTGGCTCCGCTGGCCTCCTTACAGTATCTTGTTTGGCCCAGCATGCTGCCACCACACTGAGTCAACTCCAAGTGTCTGACTCAAAATGAGAATATGTACACTGGACACACTGGACAGCTCTTTTAGAAACAAACTTACGAATCCCTTCTAGGATTACAGACTCTTTCTAGCCTTGCTTTCTGAAGCATGAAGAAAGGCTGGGGTGACAGAAAAATTTCAAGACATCTTTAAGGGACTTCATGCATTTCTTTAAAATTACATCCATGCTAGGTTAACTTATGAGAGAAGACAACTATCCTAGAAACAAGTCAGGGCAGGGTTCTTTAGAGGTTGGGAATGGAAGAACAGATGTCCAGTGCAGGCACAACATATAGGATAAGTTTCAGGACACAGGATCTGAGTTTACAACTGACTGCAAAAACAGAAAACCCGGCAAAGTTCCCAGTGTTCCCTGTCATTCATGATTCAAAACACTGTGAAGGGTTAGGTGGGGGCAAGAAGGAATCTAGAATTAGCCCTGTTTGCAAAGATCATGAAGTCCATATACTTGAAGCACGAGGACACTCATACTAAATGAAAATAATTCCAACTTCCCCTTAAGTCTCTACCTATTTTTTGTAAACAAATTTAGGTTCTCACTCATCTCCGTCATTGGCTTATAGAGAAATAGGAACAGGCCATAACATAGGATGGAGGAGAACGGTGAGGTGTAGAACTGAGAGACACATTGGAAACCAAACAATGGTACAATAAATGCAACACCAAGATGCATGTGAGCAGCTATTAACTTTAATCTTGAATGTCCTGGTGGGGTTTGTTAGGGTTGTGGATCACGCTTAAAGAACTTCTAAACGTAAAGCCAAAGCAAAACCACCCATATGAATGCAGGAGGGTGCCTCCAATAGCATTCATGATCCAAATGCAGGTCAAACAAACAGTGTGATGATTTCAAATGAATTGATCTGCACTGTATGTTAGTGGTAGAGTACTCTACTCCTCTGGGGGATTAATGTTGAACAAGTAGCTAACTTAATGAGGGAGGATGTTCAGTGGATCAGCCTTGTGACTAGGCTGTCCATGCTACACTAAGGAAAGAAAACTGGTATGATTCAGAGCTCTGGATGCTAAGAAAGGAAGGAGGGATACAGTTTGCATAGCAGGTCTCCCCACACCACACACCTAAGAGTGCAGTTTCCAAAAGTGGAGAAAACATCTCCATGAAGATGGAAGCGATTCCAAGGTGTTAGAAATAGTTATGAGCAGTCTGGAGGGAGGAGACCAGCTCCAGGTTCTCTTAACATAGGAATGCAGACTCCTCCAGTCCAGCAGCCAGATTTCCAGAGGGCTGCAGCATAGCCACTGAGCTATGTCTCGGTGTGACACACAGGGCTAGCCAAAGACATCTCACATGTTCTGAATTGTCCGAACACATGTAGAGAGATAGGGCAAGGGGAAAGACACAGGTCAGCTGCGGCAGAGTAATTTACCCTAATGAGTCTCTGATAGGCTTTGTCATAGGCTATGATGGGAGCTTTGGGTAAGTTACCAGAGGGCTTGCCAATAGTAACTGCTCAATTAACAGCAACCACTGCTCACGCAGTGACTGCTGTCATTACTACAGCCATTGGTCTCTGCAGGTCAGCTCTGATTGGAGAGGCACTATCAATAGGTTCAGATAGAGAAATACACTTCTGGGGGCGGGGGCAGAACTCACCCACAGGGACTCTAGCCAGTGTAAACAGGAACACGTTGGTGGATACTCCAAGGAGGAGATAACCCAGGGCACTGAGTAGAATGCACACCAGCAAGGAGGACCTTCTTCCGACCACATCACTCCAGCAGCCCTGACAGGAACAAGCAAATATCTCCAATAGCAACCACCACCATACGGATACCAATACAATATGCCCCGTTGAAATGCCAGGGAGCTGGATGGTGATAAAGTTCTGTCACAACATGTGCCACATGCTATTTTCTCTAGCCATCCCACAAGGTGAGCAAAAGAAAAATGCCACCAGCACGATGCCTGGTAATCCAGTAGCTGAGAGAGTCACTGGAAGGTGAAATGGGAGGCTAAATTCCAAAGTCTCACTTTTGTCTTCATTTTTATTGTTTTATGCAACTACACTCCTCAGAAACCATGTTGTTTAGAAATTTTAAAAAACACTAAAAAATAAAGTAGGGAAAAAAATAACCTTCATAGTCCCAAATCCATGTAAGCACAGGCTGAATGGGCCCGGAGAGGGTGTTGTCCTGCCCAGGGTGGAGGGCAAAGTGGACAGGGGTCCAGACCAGCTCTCTTAACTGTTCTTATACTTGCTCCATTCCCTCAAAGCCACATATCAGCAAAAAAAAAAAAAAAAAAAATCCAGCCTTGTAGCAGGATAAAAACACTAGTCAGAGTGTACCAGAAACCACAGCCTGATAGCTCTTCCTTCTCCTTCTCCTAGAGCATCCCAAAGTGTGAGGCCTGAGCAGTTCTTCGGGAGGAGAACTAGAGAGCTAAGAGCTGAGAGCTGAGAGCAGGAGAGCAGGAGAGCAGGAGAGCCGGAGAGTCAGAGAGTCAGCAGGAGCAGCCAGCAGACCCATTAACAGCCAGCTTTAGCAAGCTTCCCTTTCTTTCTTTACACTGGAAAACAGCTGTTACCAGAAGGCTTATTCCAACCTGATCAATCAAAAATAATTCAGCAAATCAGGACATCTTCATCCTGATCCCCTGTGCACACTGAGACTGAGAGTGAGGCCTTGCCTGAACAAAGTATATCTGCTTTCAAATAAAACTCACTAGACAACAGCAGCAATGGAGCATTGCCCCCACCTCTTCCAATGACCTTTGGCTCCTGAGCAATGTCCTGTTCTCTTCCCTGGCTGGGAGGGGACTGACCCTGTGTCCTGTGTCCCCCAAGACTTAGTGAAGAGCCACACTCCCCACCCTCCCCAATGAATCATGGAACCCCAGCCCACCTCTCTTCTTGCCAAAAGCCACCTGTTCACCTTAGGAGCTCCAAATGTGAACTTAAACAAAGACAGAGATGGCTCCTAAGGTCTTTGCAGTGCTATGTAAAACATTCCAGTGGGGTAAATCCTTCCCAACACAAACATCCTACAAATGCCATCAACACCTTTTCCCCAGTCTTCACTTTAAAGGGTTTCAGAGACTGTTCCACATTCTTCTGAGCATGAGGTCACCTATGTCATGGCTTAGTGGTCAGAGAGTTCTACACCCTGGGCTCTGGGCCAGGCTGTTGGGTTCAACTCTGAACACTCATCACTCCCTACACTATGACCTGAGACACAGGCTCATCTCTCTAAACCTGTTTCTTCACCACAAACATCTACCCCAGGAAGTATCTCAACACTTACTATATAAGCTAGTATGAAATGAGTGTTTTCTAAGGAGGGTCAGGACAGTCTGCTCCTGCCTGACTCCTGGATAACCTTAAGGACCCAACGCCACTTTCTACGGACAGTTATGAGGATTAAATGAGGTACTCTGAACAGGGCCTCACATTTATAAATGCTTGATGATGCCAGTTAGTTTTTATGAAAATACATAGATCTCAAAAATTTACCTAACTCAACAAAGCAAGTACACCCTTTCTTTGTGAAGATCTGTTCTTAAAACTTTTTTTATAAAATGTGTAATTAAAATATGTATAGGTACTAATGAAATTATTGGTTAGAGGGGGCATTTTAATTATGTATCCTTCTACCTTAAAATTCCCTAAGGGAGGGTTTCATTAAATTCCAGCCATATGACATATGAAATGTGCTCTGTAAGTAAAGGCACATAATGAAAGGTCAATATAAAATTGCAGGTATGGACAGATCTGGCAATGAAAGCTCACCGTCATAAAAGCCACTTCTGTACCAGTGGCTTTCATAAGCAATAGAGCTAGAAATCAATCGATTAATTATGCCTGCTCTTCATCCTGGAGGCCAGAGGCCAGCAGGAGGGAGGAGAGGAGCACTGCATGACTAGTCTGCACCACCGTCTCTGCCCTGAGATCTGAGATCCAGACCCAGGAAGACTTTGGGATTGAGTTTCCAAATGAAGCAGCAGAGTATCTGCTAAAATTCCCTATGTCTTTTCCTCACAACACTTGTGAGACACACATCCTGCCTGAGGTGACTCTAGTCATCCATCCATCTATTTACTGTGTCAGAGGGGTGCGGAGGGCAGAGCCCAGTGTGCTAAGCAGGCACTGCAGCACACGACCCCACAGCCCTGCTATTGCACCTTCCACCAGCAAAGCAATGGCTGATGACTTTTAGGAAAAAATATAAAGTAAGTTCCTTCTGGAATCTGAGATTAAGACTAACCCTGTTAGTCTTAATTTCCTCCGATTATAAAAGGGAGATAGGTAGTGGAATGTTAACAAAGTTCAAATGAGAATAAACTTGAGTGTTATGTGAATTTAACATTTTTAAAAGATGTATTTATTTTCATTTTAATGCTTGAATGTTTTGCCTGTATAGATGTCTGCATCACATGTGTATGCAGTGTCTGAGGAGGACAGAAGGCACTGGATCAGGCTAGACACAGTGGCACATTCTGTTACTCCCAACACTTGAGAGGCAGACAAATCTCTGTAGGTTCAAAGCCAACCTGGTCTACCTAGGGACTTCCAGGATACAAATAGTTACATAGAGGCAACCTGTCTTTAAAAAAGAAAGAAAGAAAAGAAGGAAGGAAGGAAAGAAGGAAGGAAGGAAGGAAAGAAGGAAGGAAGGAAGGAAGGAAGGAAGGAAAGAAGGAAGGAAGGACATTGTATTCTCTGGAAATGTAGTTACAAGCAGTTTTGAGCTGTCATGCAATGCTAAGAACTGAACCTCTGAAAGTGCTCCCAACTGCTGAGCCCTCTTCTGCAGTACCTACCAGTTTAAGGTCTTACTTAAAACATGAAAGAAAGGTAAATCAGGGAGTAATTATTTACCTATAGAATCTTACTCTGTTTCTGTTACCTATCTCTTAACCCTTAACAAGGAGGCAGCCAGGGAAAACACAAGTTTGCTAAATGTGAGATGCTAGCCAGCTGCTTCAATCAGCCATAGCTGCCAATCTGTGAGTCTAAGGAGATGACTATGAACCTCCCGACTGATGGACACTGGGGTCCCCAGGATGTCCACAGTGGGCTGCACAGGGAGACAGACAGGGACGCTCAAGGTCAGTCTCTGGATTTCAGACTACCAAACAGCCAGGAAGACGGAGAAAACCATCTCTGAATCCCCCTACTCCATTTATCGAATATCTAACCAACCAATTAAAGTGGTTTCTACTGAGTGCTCTCATATAATGAGGCACTTAGCTCAATGTACACACTTCCATATATAGAAATGTAGGTGGGTTTGACTGCTGTCAATTACATGAAGCAAATAATGGGTGGTAATTTCTGTTTGCATTCTTTTCTCCAGTACAAAAATCGGGCCCGAATCACAAGGGTGGCATGTAATACATGTAATATTCCTTCTCCCCAAGGTGTACTAGTTACTCACTGTGCCTGGCAGAAGAAGCCATTTGAGTCGTTGAAGCACACCCCCCCCATGTCTCCCATGGGACACAGATAGACAGAGGACAGGATTCTACCCTGTCTCCTATCTAACAAGGCTGTAGTTTCTAACCATCTGTCTATCCACTATTCAGTAAGCCTCAGGCCCTCCATTTTAAAAGCACCATGGTGGATGACCCAGTTTGGCATGTGACTATGTCCTGGAGATGGGCTGCGGGACAGAGGACAACTTACTGGATGGAGGATGACTTACCACAAAGGTGCTGGAGAAGAGCTGCAAAGCACCATAGGAGGAGCCTGAAAGACAATCAGTAACATTAGAAAAGGCAGCTGGGCATGGCTAAACCACCGTGGAAACCATCTGGTAGAAATAAACTGAAAACTAAGGGGGAGGGGCTACATTGCCCTACACCTTTCTGCAAAAATCTTAAAAGCTATCAAAATAAAATGAGAGCAAGCAGAAGAGAATGAAGGCAAGGACCAGGAGAGTAAAAATCAGAATCCTGGAAAAACAGGACTGAGCGCTGTTTTTTTGTTTGTTTTATTTGTTTTTTGTTTTTTCTAGACAGGGTTTCTCTGTGTAGCTTTGTAGACCAGGCTGGCCCCAAATCACTCTGCCTCCGGAGTGCTGGGATTAAAGTTGCGCACCACCACCACCCGGTCTGAGCACCGTTTTTTAACACAAACTCATGGATCTCAAGCATTTTAGAGATAAGAGGGTAAGCGAATCCATTATATTCATGACTTGAAACGCCATAAGCAATACATGGTAACAACAATAATGAAGAGCAGGTGAAAAAGAATGACATTAAAAAGGAAGCAGTTCTAGCTATATAACAGTCAAAAAGTTTTATGTAGTTCTTTCCCCCTCCTTTATTGTGTAACAGACCCATTTGGCTTTTCCTAAAGGTCTATGTGCTTCCAAGTGGTTAGCATAATTCAATATACATATCTCGAGGTAAATAAACAGAGAAGGGATCAGGATATAACAAAGGTGATGTAGAAAACTGCCCCATTTCTTCTCCAACTTGTGAAGGATCCAAGGGCTGTTAGCACTAAGGGTTTCTCTGTATTTAGCACGCATGGTTCTAAGCCCTGGATACTCCTACCTCTTTCACAAATCAAATTTAGGATGGAATTGCATGCTGCATGGGCAGAAATTCCATGGGACTCTGAGAGGTGCTGGTGGTATGGGAAGCTTGTAACTAGTTTCCTAACACGGTCACTGAAACCCTTTGCCATCAGCTATGACTTCCATAAATTGCCCCTGTAGGCTCACATTAAGTTCCAAAACTATGCTTGTGGACAGGAGGCCATGCCTCACCTTCGGCATACACAGCCCATACACAGCCCAAACCACCAGAGGCCCAGGAAGCAGAGCTTTCATCAATATGGAAAATGGAAATAACTCAAAGCTCAAAGCCTTCCTGGATACAGGTGGCCAGGGTAAACTCCATTTACTCCAGGGTGGTACTTAGAAATGTTCTGGAAAGTCATTTCATTTCCTATTTACTTTTGGTGATAATTGGTGGCTAAGGGCTGAGTTATTTTCAGAGGACTAGAAATTCAGTGTTTTGCAAATAAACAGTATCAACCACTTACCTACCACTCCAGCAACTACAGGACTTACTCCAAGGGACTTGACATGAAGACTCAACAGTGGGACCACCATACTGACACCAAACAAATCCTGTGAGAAACCAAAGCCCAAAGGACTCCAATTAGTCCTGAAGCTTGGCAGTATTTAAACCGATGATTCTAAAACTCCAAGTCAATTTTAAACATAAAACCCATATCTAAACTTCCGAGCAAAGAAGAAACCATAACAGTTGGCCACAGTGACCAGGTGTATCATGGAACCCAGATAAGTCTAAATGCCTGGGCTGTCTTTACCTAGGATCACTTTTCCTTGCAGCTTCTTTGTGATTGGCCTGAGGTGCACGTGCAATGGAAGCCCCTCCCCTGAAACAAATCAAGAAAGAACTGAAAAACCTGCAGAGTTATGTGGATAATGAAGGAGGGACTGTTCGTGTTTAATGGTAAAGCAGTTTTTGCTTCGGTAAGAATCTCCAATTGCAGGAAGGAACTAATGGACCAGAGCCTGTACTTTTTGAGACAGTTTTATTATGTAGCTCATGACAGCCTCTTGCTTCGGCTTCCTGAATGTTGATGTTACTAACATGTTCCATCACTCTAGGCTTTAAAATCCAGCACATATCAATACCTGGAGATGGGAGAGCATGAAGAAAACAGAAGGATGGTGAAATATGGATGTCCATAGACTAAGGTAATTATGGAAATATAGGCTCATCAGCAAACAGCTGGCGATATTATTTTAGCACCTTGTGAGTTTAAAATCATACCAGTTTTGCAAGGAAAGATGGCTGCAGACTCCTTCTCCTCAGGGAGTTCTCATCTAAAATCCCTTCTCCTTTACTACAATGAGCAATTCCTTCCTGATCCATACTTTCTCCAGAACCATCATCTTTTCATACATGTTGCAACCATTCATAAGGAAGTCCACCTGATGGGGCCACCTGACCTTCCCCTGTGCATCAGCATTTCCCCATGGGAACTGATAAATACATTCAAGCTTCTGGGCCTTTTACAGGGAATGAAACCCAGTGTTTCTCTGATGGTAGGTTATCTCAATGAAGATGAACTATCACCTGCTATGGGCTGGGAAGAGGAAACAGAAATTGACCAAGTGTCTGGAGAAAAGGGGATAAAGTCATAGACCTTTCCCAGCCCCAAATAATAATAAGGAAACTTCTTATTGATTATGAAAGCTTGGCCTTTAGCTTAGGCTTGTCTCAATTAGCTCTTATAACTTAAATTAGCCCTTTTATATCAATCTACATTCTGCCTTATGGCTTTTTACCTTGCTTCCATCCAACACCTCCTGTTTCCTCTCTGTGTCCTTTGAGTCTCTCTTCCAAGCCTAGATTCATCTCTCTTCCTCTCCCCTCTCTCCCAGAAGTCTCGCCTATACCTTCTGCCTAGCTATTGGCCATTCAGCTTTTTAGTAAACCAATCACAGTAACATATCTCTACACAGTTTAATTAAATATCTGGAAACATTCTCCGGCTACACAGCACCATCTTAGCTCGCTAACCAAAATGAACCAAATAAATGTGCTTGCTGTTCCCATGAGACAAATTAAAACCTCAAAATGTCAACAGCTTAAACCAGAACACTTGGCAAATGATTTCTCTAATCTTGTGCTCTTCCTCTTCCAATCAGAAACCAGTTTCCCAAGTCTTTGGAGTGGCTAAATATATGAAAATAGTAACTAAGCTGTGCATAATACCCTTATATGTAACTTAATAAGTTGGAATTAGCTCCTTCAAAGATAGATAAAGCTGCATCTGATTAAGCTCTTTACAACATTTTTCACTGGAAAAAAAAAACCCTAATCTTTTCAAAAAAGTATTTGGAAATCTTATGTATTTCCCTCAAGATATGCTCCCTAATATATTATTCTTTTGAACATATTACTACATTTCTCAGAATTTTACATCAGACTAGATTTACCATGCGCACAGCATATGGAAAGCATGAGAGGCTGTGACTATCCAAGTCTGTGCTGGAAGGCCACACATGATGAATGATGTATGAACTGCTTTATTTCACTGTAATTCTCAAAACTAGTCTGGATTCTGGCTCCTGGTAGTTGCTGAGACCCTCTGGGTAAAATCTGGATGTTCCAAGTGATGGTCGGAGATTTTTTCATCTGGCACAAGTAACCTAGGTGCCCTCTGCAGTAGAGTCTCAGTAGGCTGGGGATATACATCACCCCAAGTAGATGGCATCTCAGTGGGTTGGGGATTTCACCACCTCAAATGGATGGTAGTCAACAACTTTCCCAGAGAAAGCCACACCCACTACCTTTGAATTCTGAATAACTAGAGTAGAGGGTGCAGCTTAGGCTCTCAAGTCAAAGGCATGGAACATGAGAAGGGGAATTGTGTGTCTCAGAACCTGAAAGTTCACTATAGACAGAGATGTCTCTTAGGTGTGGTCTTCAATGTCTCCTGGCTCTGTAAATACAGACATTGGGTGCTATCTGCTTTCTTTAAGATTCTAACAAGTATTAATTGAACAACCTCTACCAACTATTGGACATTTTTCAAACTGAACAGAGGGGCTGCCTCTCTGTTACTCACCTATATGACTCTGACTTCTAACTCCTAATTCTAGAGACCCATCAGTCTGAGAAGAGATAGAAGGCTTCATCTGGGCAGAGAACAATTCCGGTTTATCGGGCTCAGCACTGATCAGACATTAGGCACAAAGCCTTCTTCTCCCACTGACCTTTCAACTAATTGGTTCCTTTGCCTGATGAAGAAATCCTACAGGGTGCTTCTTAATGCTATTGCCACTGACTAACTTATAACCAGGCCTATTGAACCAAACAACCAAACCTAGACTTGAAAGAGAAATGAGCATGGATTAGGGTCCCTGCACTGAAAATGGTCCAAGACTACCAACTTAACCTTACCACTAAAACTAAATTCTCTGGAAGCAGCTATGACATCAGAGCTCTAGGGCATGCCCCACATAGCAGGCAACCAGAAATTTCATAAATATTAAATTAAAAGGATGATGGATGGCTGTAGAATGACTTAAGCTTCTCATTTGCACTGGCTGGTTTTCTTGTGTCAACTTGACAGAAGCTACAGTCATCAGAGGAGGATGGAGGAAATGCCTCCTTGAGATCCAGCTGTAAGGCATTTTCTCATTTAGTGATCAATGGGGGAGAGCCCAGCCCATGGTGGGTGCCATCCCTGGGCTGGTGGTCCTGGGGCTTGTGAGACAAGCAGGCTGAGCAAGCTATGGGGAGCAAGTCATGGAAAGCAAGTCAGTAAGTAGCTCGCCTCCATGGCCTCTGCATCAGCTCCTGCCTCCAGGACCCTGCCCTGTTTGCGTTCCTGTCCTGACTTCCTTCACTGATGAATGGCAGTGCTTAAGTGTAAGCCAAATAAACCCTTTCCTTCCCAATTTGCTTTTTGGTCATGGTGTTTGGTCAAAGCAATAGAAACCTAACTAAGACATCATTCTACAAGGGAAAACACTGCTTGTGAACCGAACCAATATACACATGCACATAAGCTATAACAAAACAAAAACACGTGCCACTTTGCCAAAAGCCAGTTGTGTGCAATTCACCCTGACTTCCGATTTCAAACTTCAAGGCCACCTAGGTAGACGGGGTCATTAGCAGCGACTTCCCGACCCCTGCTGTGGAGGAAAGGCCTGTGTCGGTGTCTCTACCATACTGGCTGCCCCCAGAAGCCTGTGAACTCTGTCCTGCACCGACCAGTGCAAACAGCAACTGGAGCCACCCTCCAAAGAGGCTGGGTCAAGGAGCCACACTTGAGGTCAGCGCTGAAAGGGCAAGAAGAGACACCTGACAGCACATTTCAGATTTTCGGGCCGGAGGAGGGACATGCAGCCCTTCCCTTGTCTTGAACAGACTCAGTGCTTTTTCCCCAGCCCCAGGGAGGGCACTCACCAAAAAGCCTACCAGGTAGAGACAGAGCAGGAAGCGG